ATATGCTATATGCGTTCGGTGGACCGCGGTGAATGTATCATCGTGAATCATATAGTTCCTGTTTTCGACCATGGAACATGGAGAAATGTGCTTCGTTTAAAAGAAAATTCTGGTTTTGGAAAAAGATGCTGTTTGTTGGTAGATAAATGTCTTTCATCAATAAAATAAATTACTCCTTTGTACTGTACTTAACAATTTTTAAATTTCGATTGTAATTTGTGTGGTCGTTTCTGATTTTTCAAATTTTGATTATTAAATTTGTTCATTTAGAACTTAGAAAATAGATGCTATTTATTTCCTATTAAAAATAGTAAAGTTTATTAATCCAACAATCTTAGTAGGAAAAAAAGAAATACTAAATGTTCCATGATTCATTGGACATTCGTAATCAATAATCAAATCGCGGTTGGACCAAGTATCCATCCATTATGGATATTTCAATGACAACACGTCGGTCTAAGGAAACGTCTGTTCCGTTCGGAAAATCCTGCTACCGCTACGATAATAAATCATGGGATTTCACAATACTTCGACGAGAAATCGATATATCCCATAAGCGCCTTGTCTTTGCCGAGGAAAGATATATCGTTTGATGATTGCTGAAGGTGTCCAGCTTTTCTACTTAAAAGTTGCGTTTCCACGTGGTTGACAACGACAGAAGAATAGTAAAAATTCTCTGTTCCGTGAACGAAATAATTATGATACTTCTTTATTTTTCTTTATATTAAATTACAATTACACTAAATTAAAATAGTAATTGATTTCCTTCTGATTAATTTATGTTTCAATATAATCTATATCATGATGCTTTAATTTACTAACAGAAGAAGAATAGGAACCAAACGAGTTAATTACTTTAGTCCTTATTTTACTCTACTTTGAATTAATATCATTTACAAATCGTAAAACTATGTGTTAATTTTCTAATGTGTTTATAATTTCACTAATAATAACCCTACTAATATTTACAGATCGTATTCAATTCAAATTACTTCAATTTTTGCACAAAATTTTTTTAATTTTCTTACTTTTATAAAAGTAATAAGAAATTTATTTTAAAGGAAATCGTGTGACTCACAAAGAACAGTTTACGAAATCGGTAACTCTTTTATACGAATTGAAATGTTCCAAGTTTGAATATGAGGTCGAGATCAAACAGTTTTTTTTAAATTTCTGTTACAAGCAATAAAAAAGGGAGCACTTAAACCTCCCTCGTTGGAATAGTAATGGTTCGTTTTAAAATCTCCGCGTGGCTCTCGTTCAACTGTACAAAAGGCTTCCAAAGAACTTCGGTTTCGTTCAATTGCTCCAGTTGGCTGGCCAAGAATTACGTGGAAAGTATTTTTGGCCGGCAGCACAATGCACTCGCTTGATCCACGCCAAATACTTGTCACGTATATCGGAGCTTAATCTCCTTTAAGTTTCTAACGGAAACTCCGCGAAGCAGGCTTAAGGGATATACACAAGTTTTTCGGCTAACCAACGGATTTAAAATAGACAAGCGAATTGTTCACATGAAAATAAATGGCGTCTCATCATGTTGTACGAACAGAAAAATTGATAAATTTTGATTTACAGTTTTAGAATTTCATATGCAGTTCATAATTTCTGTAGTTTTAATTAGAATTTAACGTCAAATATTGAAAATTGTTACTATTTTTAAATAGTAAATAGTTAATACTAAATAGCTAATTTTGAAACAAAGATAATAGACTGATTCAGAATTCTTCCTCTTTAGAGGGAAATATTTTTTGGTGATTCTGAAGGCAAAAAGAGATAATAAGAGAAATAATAAGAGATTATAAGAGATTTAAATTCTTAAAATTAATAGCCAAATTTATGTACAGGTGTTTGGCTACAAGCGTAAAAAGATTTAAGAGGTAATTCTTGAAATCAAAATAAGACGAAAATCAATAATAAAAATATTGCCTTCTCCGCTCCGTTTCTTAGTTATCAACAAGTAAAAATCGGCCGAAATATTCCGGTGGGCAAGCAAACCTTTTTACACGAGCGAAAGTAAATCAGCTTGAGCAGTGGAGTACACAGTGATCCTCAAATGGAACGACACATGAGCGGCGACTTACCTCGTACAAATTGTAAAGAAGAAGACTGTGGGATTCGGAGACGTGAATTATCTTGCGTGACGTTCTGTCATAGGAATCGTAGATTAAACATTAAACTTGGTTATTCATAGAAATCCATAACAATATATCAAGAGCCGGTCTATGAAATTTTCGAGTAAAGAGGAGTATTCTTTAATCATTTGCTAACATAAATAATTAATAAACAGAAGCACATATATACAATATGTATACAAAATTCACACATGCAACTGTCTAGACCAGTAGTGCCCACTGCAGGTGTCTTTCACGTATCTGTTTCCTCTTCCAGCCATCTTTCGCGTAGTGTGTTCCTTCGTTACCAAAGAAACCACGCGATGCTCATCATGGCAAACTCACGTTTTCGTACTTAAAAAAACCTAGCAGCCTAACATATGAAACGCTCGACGTATTCGTTAGGACGATAGTGAGGGAGTTTGTCTCCTGAGACAAAACTTTGGACGGCTATAGTCTGTTTACAGATAAATCGTAACGAAAATAGCAATCGTTTTATATTACAATAAACGTTCAATATGATCTCTGTTTTCTTGTAAATAAAGTATATTACCTGGCACAGCACATATAATACGCACTGTACGCATTAAACACACTACTACTAAAAAGATAAATAAAAATAACAAATATAAAAATAAAGAATAAAAAAGTAAAATAATTAAAAATAAGAAAGTTTCAAGAACTAACAATAAAAGGACTAATAATATCTACAACGGAATAACTGGTGAACTTATACAAAGATGATTTTTTAATACGTTGCAAAGCTCAATATTTTGAACAACTTTTTTCCTATACATATAACCATCAGTCTCTCTTAGTTTCCGAGATAGCAGCAAAAAATTGCAGGTACTACACAGCGTATTTCTGCCCATAGTTGTGTGTCTGTGGCAGCATATGCGTCAGTATTGGTTACCGCTTATCTTCTGTTTATAAACGAGGGTCGGGCTAGCTTAAAGGCCCATGTACAATGTGCACATGCGAAGCTGCAAAAAAATATCTGTTATAACTCGATTAGAGCTGAATACATACCATCAATGTGTTAGGACTAGGTTTGGGTTAAATTTTTCAATACTTGCGTGAAATGATAACGATTATTCTATTTCGTAAAATAATATCAATGTCAATAATTATTCATTCTTCTATTATTATTATAATTAATTTATTACTATTTCATACAAGCGTTGCCGGCCTCCTCGTGGCGGTTGGATTAAAGTAACTGATCCAAACCCAAACCTAATACATTGATGATATTCATTTTTAAATGGTTTATAATAACTTCTCGCGGCCTTGCACATGCACATTGTGCACGAAGCCTTTATGTTCGCCCAACCGCTTTTAAACAGAAGATAAGCGATAAGTATACTGATGCAAACGCTGGTACAGGCCTACAATTGTAGGCAGAATTCACTGTACTAATAGTGGCGATTCTTATGAATATTTCGAGAAATAAGGCCGACCGACGGTTATATGTATAGGAAAAAGTTGTTCAAAATGTTGAAGTTTACGACGTATTCAAAAACTGTCGAAATCAAAGAGGTTGGGACGGTTGCACAAAGTTCACCGAATAACTCAAACCTATACTAACATTACAATTAACTTCAACTTTATATAGTTCTCCTACTGCTTCTTGTCGACTGTCGAAATGATTCTGTCCTTCCAGAACTGTTCTCTTTCCTCTTATCAAATTCCTAAAATCGCTAAAACATGTTACATAGCAAGGTATTAGTGGAGAGTTTATTCAAATAGAAAAATTTTCGATGCTCTTCGTCAATGTTTTCGTTTTCTTTGTATAATTCGAAATTAGCCAGGCGCAGTTACGATATCTGAGGCGTTCCTCTTAAAGATAGCGTTAGTTATGCGTATTGAAGCGAACAGGCTGCTAATCGGATATGTTTAAAAACGATTAGAAGCCTTGCAAGGATAGTATCTTTTCGGCAACGAGAGCGAAAACTTAAAAGAGCTATTCAACGCGATAAACGTAATTTTTCATTTGTATATTAAATTATATTATAACACGCTACTCCATAGAAAGATACTTAAATTAATCCTTCGAGGATAAATTTAAATAATTTTTTAATTGTTTTTTACTTCCTCGTTTTTTATTACATGTATATGTACGTGAATATTGTAATATGCAGTGATTAGTAATTTGTGTGTGGTTCATGTAAGACAGCGCATGATCACATTTGTAGAACCTCAAGAATGCAGATTATGAGATTTTTTTGTAGACATTCACGGATAGGAGAATCATAGTGCGTGTGAACGTTGTATAAACATTATATGTATGTGGTTTTGTTTATTAATTATTTATGGAAGCAAGCGATTAGAGGAAAGATTAATTCTCTCTACTCCAAAATTCCATAAGGCGATTTTTGATACGCTGTCATGGATTTCCATAAGTAGGCAAGTTTAATGTTTAATCTACGATTTTTCCGATAGAACGACGTGCAGGATGATTTGCGTCTCCGAATGTCATAGTTTTCTTTCCTACGTCTTGTACGAGGTAAGTCGCCGCCCATGTGTCGTTCCATTTGAGAATCACTATATACCTCGTTGCCCAGGCTGATTTACTTTCGCTCGTGTAAGGAGCTTTTTTGGGGCACAGGTATGTTTCGGCCGATTTTTAAATGTTGACAGCAAAAAACGAAGCCAAAAACGAAATGTTTCTTCCTAATTTTCGTTTTTTTTTGCTTTCATTTTTTCTTTTTAATTTTTTTCCTTAAATTTTTTTACTCCTGTACCAGAACACCCGCATATATATAGGGTCCTTTTAATCTTTTTTACTAATTAATATTCGAAGCGTATCTATAATCTCTTAAGCTTTCAGAAAAATTACGATTGTAAAGATTTCAGAAGTGAAGAAAATATGTATTTAATTGTCAAGACAATAATAAGTACTACTTTTATCACATTCAATTCAGTCTAATATTCATAAAAGTACACGAAATTCTTTAAAACTATACGTTGACTACTATTCTTCGTAACATAAAAGCAAGCTAACATTACATTTTTCTGAAAGATAATTTTCCACGAATATTTATCCATTCTTCCTTTCAAAAGGGCACGTCGCCTTAAAATGCATATTTCAAGACGGTTCTCGAATTTTAGAGCGTTGGAATTTTTCATTCCCTTTTCCGGTAGGTTAAGCACGTTTTCAGAAAAACCTGTTAGACTTTTACGATTCTCACAGATATATCCTTTAGGAAGCATAAGAAGTGTCTTATCATTTAATTAATAAGATATTAATAAGATATTAATAAGATATATAAAAGGCGAGAAGGTTCTTTCAGTAAAACTTTAATAGCTTTCTTAATATTAAAAACATGTCAGAAGATATTTTCATATTTGCTAGTTAATAATAATGATAACTTATTTCATAACTCATAAATCGCTAAAAAAATAAAATTAAATTATAAAACAAAGATATAGGAATCGAACGTAACTTCTTTAGAACCTATTTCAAGCATCTCTTTTAATTTTAAAATAGCAATTACAAAAAATTAATCACAAAACCCGAATTTCGTAGGTATGGTATATCAAACGACATAACGATTCAATTCCCCTATGTTTTGCTCAATCCATTATTACACTAATTTTCTATATGATAAGTTCCAATTCAAGTTCTGTGCTATCCTTATAGAAATATTACCCATTCTTCATTCGTAACTACCCTATAGTTTCATTCCGTAACTCAGTAATATTCTCGTATTACAAAGAACCAGAAATTTCCCATGATAAATTCCTCGGTCTATAAATATAGATATAAGTCTTGGTATACGTTTATTCACATTCGCGAAAGGAAATTTTTCCAGGCATCTTTTTCATCGACCACAGTCGTCTAGGTTCTAGACGCTTCACTTAGCCCCCCTTTTAACTCGATCGGTTTTCAATCACCCACGATTACCGTTCTCCGCCTCAATCAGTCCTACTCTACCTCTAATCGTGAAGATCGACACGATCGACGAACAAAAAAAATTAGGTAGCGAATTTTCCATCGATACTCCCCGATTTTTTATCAAAACCACGCTTTCAGAATCCGCGAACGTTTAAAACTCTGAAGAATTAACGGAAATAACGAGAGTGACGAGAGTAGCTAAGTTTCCAATTGATATAAACTTTATTACAAAATGAATTTTGGAATTTATATTGTAAAAAGATAGTGAATCGTTCAAAATCAGTAATTAGGGGGTGCAAATGCTTCTGTGAGTCACTATATATTTTCAGGTAAATATAATAACATTATATTTTCATATATTTTAAGTATTACAAGGACATCTACTTGTTATATTCGTTGGAAAATTCTAACAAATTTTACTTTCTTTAGTATTTTATACTGTAAGTTGTACAATATGATACCAATGAAATAATAGAGTCGTAATTATCGAAACGTGTGAAATTAATTTGTTCATTGAGAAGTCTTATTTCTTCAAATTGTTTCACTCAATCTAATATGCAAATATCTGGAGACAATTTTCTCAGAAATAAAGCCTTCATCTACGACGAAATTTTATTTTATATTTTTGATATATTTCTTTTTCATGTGGAGTCACTTTTTTCTGAATTATATCACAAATTTCGGAATATCCATTGATGTATATATATATATATATATATTTTTTTTTTTATTTTACTTTCCACAAAGTATACATGGAAATTGAAGCGTTAAAATCGCAGTTGTTGAAGTTGAGACTACGTTACAAGTGTAAAAGCGTATTTGTTCTCGAGTTTGCAAACTTCGTGCGGTTGTTCCGCGAATTCTTTCCGTGAGCTCACGAAACGCTTGCCAGCGTTACATGCTCTTCGTTACTTTGCGGGTTTTCCGTTTCAACCAGCGTTTTAATTGTGTACAACAAAGAATGTTATGAAATACACAGAAACGAACCGTGGTTTTTCATTAACCGATGCTGCCACTCGACGCAAATAGAATTACGAAATATTTTTTCGAACCTCCATTTTCTGTAAAACTTCTGTATCATACGAGTACACTATAAATTCAATCAATTTCAACGCTTTTCACGATAACATCGAAATCTTTACTACACGCTCTCTACTTTCGTTTCTAAAATTCAAAACTCAATTTCCAACCCATCTCTGTCAATGACGAAGCGCTCAAAGCCGACAAGTCAACGATGTCAGTTACCACATCAAAGAGGCTAACTTGCCGTAGAATTGCCATTCTGATACGTTATCATAGTTACATATTTGATGTATAGTGTAACACACAGCTTTTAGTACAGGGTAGGTCATACAAAAGATGTCAGGAAATATCAAATCAGTTTCGATAAATTAAGTAGCATCATCTAAATATCACGTGAAATAATTCAGAATCTGTTACTCAGAAACACCCGCATATTTTCTTAGTCTTGACAGAGTGTTCTTCGATTACAAAATTACAAATAATAAAACCAACGCTGATCTTATCCTTCATTATTGGTGTAGTTATGTACTGTAGATAAAATTGTCTATTTCAAATTAATGGATGCATTAATGCAATAATCCACACCACTGTCATCTGTAAGTGTTAGATGTTACGGAATTTTACATTATTTTAGAAGTTTCTTATCCGTGCCCTGTTTAGCTTTGAAACTATTCATCAGATAAAAAATATTCTTTTAAATTAATTGTAATGTCACAAGAAGTGACTAATAGACGTATCTGTATAGTAATAATAAAAATCAATACGTACCTACATCGAGATTTACAATGGAAGTTGTAAATTTAATTGTAATATACAATTAATAGATTTTTTAATAAATAATTGGAATTAATATAATCTTTTCTACTTGATCCCATAAGAAAACAATGTGTCAGCAAATTATTCACTGCTTTTCGTAGATTTAGGCATGTCATTCCCACATTGTTGTTGCAAATAAATCCAAATATCTTCGGATATGTCCACATGAGTAGTAGTTACTTAATCTTCTATAAAGCAATATGTTCGTTAATAATCTACGATCAACGACAACGGTGGCCACGTGAGTATGTCAGAGGGAAGCAGATGGATCGATCTATTGGCCTAAAATTGACAGTAAACGGCGGAGGTCAATTACAACACATCAGCTCCGATGGCACGAAACGGAAATAATCGGTTTGAGAAAGGAAGTCCGTGCGTTGCATTTCCTGCGATAGCGCGAGTCTTGCAGTCCTTGCAAGTCCTTGTAGACGCATATTACAACAGTCCTGCTGGCCGTTCGGCGTCGAGTAAGCATAGCTGTTACGCGAAATTAACCTATCGTTGAGAACCACCACAGAGAGCATGGATGTTCTGTTCTATTTCGTAACAATCGACGATGCTGTCTGTGTGGAATGTTACATATAAGATCGTTCGGCTTATCGTGTAGCTCATCGTGTACACCGTACCACGCCGCATACACGATGCTTCCATTCTACGCGTGAAAGTTCATTGTAACTGGTTTCTGCGGAAGATTAAAAAAATCAGCAGGTTAATGTCAGCAGGCAATCTTCATTGTACTTGCACCCTGAAATTTCCACTTCTTTGCTTGAGAATTTGGTAGATTTCGTTAGACTTGAAATATGTAGAATTTAGACCTGCTAATGACATCTAATATACGTATAATTCACTCGCATGTTATACATAAGGAGGAAGATAGAGAATAATGTTATTCATGTTATCATAACATGTGAATTGGTTCATAAAATTATATATTTACAAAATTTAATTGTAATTATGTAGTTTAATCAAAATTGATTCTTTTAATAAAATTTGAGGTTCCCTAATGAAAGTTCGTTAATTTACCTTCGTTTCCGAATTTTATATATTATTCAGTTCATAATTATAAGCTATTTTGTTCGTCACAACATTTATTTATATATTATATTAGCTTATATATTATATATTTATTTATAAATATATAAATTATTAAATATATTAAATATATATATTATATATTTATTATATATTATTTATTTATATATTTATATATTATATTATATATTATATATAATATTTACATATTATATTAGCTTTTGTCTACTTTTTTTTTTATACGACCACCCCCCTCTCTACGATATCCCCTGGGCCGTCGTGCAACTCTGAGGAGGTCCAGATCCTCCCCGGCGTGTCAGCCTCTATGACCACTTAGGACAGCGTAGGGCCATCCTTCGGCGCGGAACCATGCAAGGTTGGGATGTTCTCACCCTCTCCCGCTCTGTTCGTTCCTTTAGGAGCATTACGCTTTCGCAATATGAGCGTACTGCGAGGAGCTCTTGTCGCCCCCTCAGCATCGCTTTCACAACTGACGAGGAGTCTAATCTTTCGCCAATTGCCAGCCGTAGAATACGACGTGAGGCCTCCCACGCCACACAAAATTCTAACGTATGCTGGGCCGTGTCCTCGCCCTCGCCGCAATGGTAACAGGTGCTTGTCACCTCTCTTCCGACTTTCTTCAGGTATTCCCCGAATACTCCATGTCCTGAGAGCACCTGCGTCATTCGGAAGGACAGTGGAAACCCTCCGTGGTCTCTCCAAGCCTCCCAGTTTGGTAGGACCGATCTAACGGCTCGGTGGCCCTGGATCTGGTCTTCGGTGAGTAGGTGGGAGCGCCACCACCCCCACACCTCTCATCTGACTTCCCACCGAACGTCTCGGGCCGCCAGCTCAGCGGGGAGAGCTTTTGCCTATTTCTTTCATTTCTGTTACTATCAAATACAGACTATTGATTTTAGTTTTATTTATATTTATTAGATCTCGGAAAAGATTCATCTTTATCATCAAAATAATTTAACACTTGAAATACCAGGAAAAACTTACACATAATTCTCTCTTTTCCTGAAGCACTCATTTTTGTTAATTTGTTACAGAGTCTAATTAATGGATCATAGATTAATAATCATACCATATTTAAACAATAAATAATGTGTCGAGATTAGATTAATCTTTTTATCTATTAACATTCAATCGTTAATGGTCGGTATCTGTATAACAAGGCTATTCGTTCGAGTTTCGCCTAATTATCCGTGTGATCCAACACACGTGAATATACCAAAGCACCAAAATTTATTTATACCAAGCGTCAGGTCATGGTGCAGGTTCCACTGATCGAAGTTGATCGAGCTAACTGGTGATCAAAATTACAGGGTGATCGTTCCTCGAAACTGCTAAACAAAGCTTACTGTAACGCCGCGCGGTAAACTCTTTAGCCGGCACAGGGATACCAGTTAACTCTTCTCATGCACGGCGAAACAGTATTTCAAGTGCAAGCCATTAAGCCCTCAACACTGCCGGATAGTGATTAGGTCCAGGGGCTAAATCCTTGTCAGTGTTGGTGTTCAGTGAATTTAATCACAGCGCTCTCAGGACAATGCTGCATATTCGTGCCGTCAGGCTACAAAGATAATTGCGCTTCTAGCATTAATCAGGCATTCACTGTTCGCTCACTTGTCTACCTTCGTTTCTCCTCTGTAGAAACAAAGATCCCGCCAGTTATCCCTCAAATATCACTATTTGTAACTTACTTATGGCAACTACCGTTTCGCGATAAGAACTTAAGGATTTGAGGTGACACTTGTATCGTATAGATAAGGATTATAGCAACAAGTAGGTACAGAGGTAATTGCGGATATTCTTGGACTTAATATTCAATGTATTACTGAGGAAATTTTGGATAAGCTTCAGCAAGTAGTGCAACGACTAGTATTGGTTTAAATTTACGCAATAGTGTATGCTAACTAAGTATTAGAGTGGAAATATATTAAATTTAAGTTGAAGATATATATTGATTTGATGTCCTTAATGTTAAAGAATAGAGGATCTACAGATAGAATCTTCTAGATATATATATATATATAAATATATATATATATAAATAAGAATCTTGATAACTTTGACGAATCAAAAAAATTAAAACTATCATAGAATTTTCCTAAGACTGCTTGCAGACTATCAATATATTGTCAACATTTCAAGGTTCCCATCGTCATTGTACAATATTGACAATATTGAGTAAAAAGAGTAGTTAAAAGACTACTTCTCCTTTGATTTTTTAACGCAACCAAAAAACACGTTATTCATGATACAGAAAATTTACTCCCAAAAATGCTTTGTCATTGAAAAATGTCGTTGTGGTGCATAAGTTCTACGATTTACGAGAAACTTTGTGGACAGGTCATTGGTTGCGGTAAACATTCATTAAATTTATCTGTAACCGCGTAATTTACATCACCGTGGCGTTACGGTCATTAACGCGTAGCAGTGGATTTTTGATTCGCAGACTGTGGCTACGTGTCCCAGCGCCATGTAGCGTAAAAATGCAAAACACGCGCTTTTCCGTCATCGCGAACAATTTTCACAATTTTATCAGGTCTGTTATATTTGGTAGTAATTTCATTATCATGTATACGAACGTTTTTGGTGATCTGGTGATAACGAGAATCGCACGTGATTATGCGACTGTGGAGTATAATGGTATTATACCGTGAGCGTGGCAAGTAATTGCGCGTGAAATGTAAAAATAAAGATATCTGGTTTGGTATTTATTGAATTTCTGGTTTCTTTTGAGAAATCTTTTGATTAGTAATTATTGATTAGTAATTATTGATTGACTATTAACAGGTCATAACCTATAAGATATCCTACAAAATTATGTTTCTCTTATAAATACTCATATTTTACAATTTAAAAGCAAATTTATAAATTATTTACACTTTTAGGTTTGTAGAATGAGATATAAAATTAATAAATTTGATCAAATAAGTGAAAAAATATTTCTGCGTAAAATTCACCCTAAATTCCTTTCTCAAATGTTCGGAGGCCGCGCCAATTATTCGTATTTTCCTGGATGATATAATTATTCTTACAGTGACAGCGTTATTTTAAGAGTAAAATTAATGGCGGCGTTTTTTCATTCTAAAATATCACGGCCCATTGAGCGATATTGAGATAAAGAGGTAGTCGATCATCATGCCAGCCGGATCGTTAGAAAACAATCTAACGGCTTGTATGAACCGAAAATCATTAATCATTTTCTGTCGTCGTGAAATTATTCGATCGATTAAATTCGTTTTAGTTGGCGTGTACGAGATATAGGTGAAATGCATGAAGCTCATTCTTTGTTTAATGAAAAAGAAAGAACGTAAAAATGGCAGAGAAGCTGTTTCCATTGTTATATACGCTTGATTTATATGTTAACCAAGAGCATTTTGTTCAAACAGGCGAAAATTAACGAATTAAAAATGCAAACGAAATCGATGTGCTTTCAACCGTCGCTGTTTTTGGTAATGGAAATGTCCATTGAACTTTACGAGCAACTAATTTGAAAACTTCACTTGTTCGTTAAAGAATGTAAAATGTCGTTGTATTTTATTTGAGTATCATTTATTCATTAACTTTAATCACCTATACACCTATTTTACAGGAAGAAGATCTTCATTACGAAAAAATTGTAAACAGAAATAAACAAATCATAAATATATGGAAATAATTTTCAGGAGTACAAAGAATTTTAATAAAATTCGTTGCAATAATCCTCAAATTTTAAAAAATAGAAGGGAAACGAGAATGGAATTATAAATCTACCGACATATGTATAACGTTACAAGGACCTTAAATGCTCAAGAAATACAGCCGGAAATTCTCGATAAAGGGATCGCTAAAAAAAAAGGAGGACGAAGAAGGTTTTCCCGTGGACAGAAAAAATCTAAAAGCATACACACCCTTGGGGTGAAAAACAAGAGATAATGCAGCGACCATGAACAAACGAGAGCAGCACGTGGATTTAACCGAGGCAATTAGGCGTCTGAGCATACACGCTTAAAAACATGTCACGTATGTGATACATCGTAATAAAAACTATGTGGCATGTAGACGAAAGGAAGTAGTGGTTCGTATTTGATCTCTACGTTATAGTTCGTTAAACAATTAATTACACAGAGGTTACTTATGCAATTGTACATTCAGTGTTTTTTTTTTAGGAATACATTATCTTTGCAATATAATTAGGAACTTTCGTTGCGTAGCTTTTTGAAACAGAAATTCTTATTAGATTTTTGTATTTATCTCTTAATTTTGTTATGTGTTGAATTATGCAAGATATTTTAATACTGAATGTTTAAGTTAGATGATAAAATTATTTTTATGTTTTATAATCTCGTTATTTTGAGAAACGTAGAAGTTGTTAAAAACCTAGAATATTTATATGTTATGTTCTGTAAGATATTTACATGTTATATTCTGTAGAATATTTACATATTATAATTTCTTCAATCGATTTCGCCTCAGGATGTAGCTTCAGAGAATATGGATATTATTATTAGTTTCGGCAGCGAGTAATAAAATTTCATGGAAGATTAAAGCCATATGATCTCTTCTCTACGAAAGCTACAAAATCAATATCACTTACGGTACCTTTCACGTGATTATCGAAATAATACATCTATCGAATAATTAACAAAATGTTAAATTTTCAGTATTCTAAAGTGCTGTTGCCTTTTAAAAGGAATTTCGAACATTTATCATTAAAATCATCCGAATATTCAAATAAAATAATCAAGAATCATTTCAATAAATATGGAATTAGGTTTCATCAAACGAGATACTGAAATCTTTCTTGATGTCTTCCTCTTTTTCTGCTTGCATCCTGCTTACATCCTGCTATACGTATAATAAACTATATCTTTTCAATTTTAATTGAATTTCTTTAAAGTCATTTATACTATACTACTGTACTAGATTTCTAGTAAAGTATCTATCTCTAAATACATGTTTTGTCTCATGACAACAAAATAGATAAAACACATTTATTTATATCTCTTAATAATGTTACACTGCTTGTGAATGGGTTAATGAGTTAATGAAAAAAATTAAGTAAAGAAGAAATATAGCAATATCGCGCCACAAACGGAGAACTAGATTGACATCGCTAAACAATTGAAAGTTTTCCAGTATCACCAGGCGTGTGTTAAATAAAATCCCATAGCCTTGAAAGCTTCTGAATATTATCGTGCGTAAAGTGGTCGTCGCGCGAAAGTAATCCCCGACGAAAACGATATGAAATAGAAAAAGCAGAGGGAACGAAAAAAAGAAAGGGAGCGAGGAAAGGGAAGAAAAAGTAAAAGAGATTCCTCTCGCAGCGAATCGAGCATTTTTTTTATTGTCGCCATAAATCGGGGACGCGCGTCATTTCTTCGGGGAATGGTCAGAATAAGAAAGAAAGAGAGGGTGGCTCGCACGGTCGTAAAAACGGCACGATTTTACAAAATAAAAGAGCTCTGCAGCCGATCGAAAATCAATATCGGAACTTGAGCCCAGAGCTTTTTTGCGGGCGTAAACGTGTTTACAGCTGAAACCGGTCGTTCCTTATTTTTACTCCGGTCTGAATCCATCCTCGTCTACCATTGACCGTATCTTTAAACGGACGAGCCTCTAAACGGGCCCCCATAGAATTTTCCGGCAAATCTATTCGATGCGGCGTTTCCGCGGGAATAAAACTCGCTACACCGGAAACTCGATGACTCCTCTCGGTTCCACTAACCGACCACGGCAATGTCGTCGGGAAAACAATACTTTCACCCGCTTGATATCGGGCTCCAGGATTCGCTCGCTCTGGGATTAATATCTCCCAGTCGATGTTCGATAGGATTCGAGCGTCCCGATGGTTTAGCTTTGCGAATATATATGCTTTCAGATACAATGTACATACACGGTTTTGTGGTACGATGTTCGTTGGAAGAACGAGTACCTAGTTTTGCAAATTGCATTAGTTTTTGATGGAGATGGACCTTTAGCTGGTTGTTGGCGCGAATTGTTTCAAAGTACCAATGATGTGTATATAGCCAAGGGAAAATAGAAAAGTTCTGAAGATTGGAGTATGGATTTTATTTAGATATTGTCGAACGGTAAGTATAGCTAGTGGGATTTTTATTTTGCTTAATTTGTATTGAGTATAATAAGATGTTTGAAGTGATACAAATCGTAAGAATTGTATTATTCGAAAATAGCTAAGTAAATTATAATATTCGCTTCGTAAATATTGAACCGAAGTATATATGTAACATGAGTAAAATTCTTACTTTTTCTAATTTGCATATGAAGCAAACTGTTCTAAACAATCCTCCAAAATGCATTAATTATTACATTGCACTATATCCAATACATATAGAAAGCTAGGAAGAGTAAGAAATACAGCAGCTTTATTTACACGGACATTTTAATAAATATATTCATATTTTAGAATATAATTCTCATTCCAGTTAAAACATACTACAGATATTTCAACATATTTTCACATTAAATTCTTCGCGTAAATTTATTCCTCTTAATTTTTCGAACAAACAGTAATAAACATCCTCGGAAAAGGCTTGATATTTCCATAAACCATCGGGGAACAGACGTCATATAACACGTTCTTCTTTTTTCTCCAATCGTTCCTGGCGTATTTAATCGCAAAGTCCGCGTGACTTTTTCCGGTTGTATTTGAAAAGAGAGAAGAATATCTAGCGGGCCTCGAATCAGTTGACAGTCACATTCTGATTAGACAAACGAGTTCATCACGGCAGAATGTTTGACCGTTATTTATTCTGCGTCGACTATAATGGATGTTATGGTGTGGTGGCCATTGGTCTTCCCGCCGAATCGATTTTCCATCGACATGCAAATACGCCGACGTCTCTCATCCGCCTCATCTTTTTCCCGCCGACGATTTTGTATCGACGCGTTGACTGAGGTATCGATTCTGCTGACACCCAAGCCAGACAACTTGTCTGTGATTTTTGAAAGCAATTTTTCGCTCGAATATTTGGTTGCCATTATCTTCGCAAGAGTAGACTCGCATGTTGGGAAAGTATAAGTTTATTGAACAGCATCGATCTGCATTTAGAGAGAGGAAAAGGAAATGAATTTGTTTTTTAATTATTTCATTAAAGCGATTCTTTTATTTTATCTCCCTCGTTTAAAATACCCTATCTGCTGTTTTGAAACATCTGGAAAAACTGAACTTTTATTGTTTTTCTATTAAACATTTAGAATCTCCATAGGAATTTATAGTTCAGACAGCTTCAGAGGAACTTCAAATATTTCAACATATCTTGCACAATGTAAAAATGCTAAACTTATGATATTAGTAATTAGAACGGAAATAACTAAAGTTGAAAAATATTTTTGGCTATTACTGTTTTATGAAATTTTAAGAATTGAGAAATCTTATAATTAGAAATATCGATGGAATTCAATAATTGGAATTAATTTTGGAAGACACTATAATATTAAAATATATGAAAAGTTTGATGTTCATATTATACGTGATACGTTTTTTTTACCATTTTTCTAAATTAACATGATATAATTCTTATTTAAATTTATTTAAATGTTTATTTAGTACGGCGAAGTAATTTTTTAATTAATTAATTTTTTAGAGACAAGTTGACAACAAACAAAGTATGTCCAATTACAAAATATTGAGTCAATAATTAATTCTTTCTACTTATAGCAGGTTCATTTACATCTGTCCATATTAAGATTGGTCATTAGCGGAGTTAATACATCAGATCGCATTTTACTTGCAATTTAAAGCGGTAAAATATTTATAAATAAAATATCTCAAATTATCTGGAGATTTTCATTATTTTTCACAAAAAGAATTAAAAAATTATTCACTGATCCCATCGTAAAAGTACATAAATCCTAGTAATGATTATAAACGTTGTCTGTGCAAAGTTTCCAGCAAAATCTGAAGTATTTACATTCCCTCGTGGAATATTCCGTATTTATTGCGTAAAACTGTAACAGCGAATGTTCATCACGCTTACTTTGTTAGGTTGACCTCCCTTCCACTAATATAGGTAACTAATAGAAACTTCATCTCTCAGGCCGATGGTGTACATTGTTTCGTACAGTTGTTTGATAATTGAAAATAGTTGTAAAATTAAAAATACTTTGGTGATGTGAAACATTACAGAAATTATACGATGTAATTACTTTCTAATATATAATTTTTCTTCATTATCTATAAATTGAGGGTAGTTCATTTGAAATTTTGCTCAAAGTTAAATTGGAATTTTATGCTATATATACCTAATTTGTAATTTAAATATCGACTATAGGAAGTGTAAATTCCTCTAAAATTATTATAATTAGTAGAGATTATAGAGGTTAATAGAGAAATTTGTGAGACGACGAGGCAAAATTTGAAATCGATTTTTCAAATTAAATAGTCATCGATTAAATACACGAGCATGAATTGTTGGCGCGCTAACTCGCTTAAATAAAGTGAAAGTTTTGCACTGATTTTCTGTGATTTATTGGATCGCCGGCTGGTTCAAGTGGTCGCATTTTGCGTGCATTTATCGGTTACAGCGGCAGTAACTTACACCGAGTTTCAATCGAATCTACTCGATTACGCGAGAACCGACCGCACTTTCCAATTCCAGAATTCGGGTTAACCGTTTCCTTTGACGCGGTTAGTTGGCTGTTGTCTAATGAAATTACACCCCAAGATCGCCTCAAAGTGCACGGTTACACGGATGCGATATTTCTCTTTTGCGATTTCAGTCTGGCACTGTGCACAATGCTTTCGAAATATCTCTGTTACCAGGAATATTCGAAAATGAGAGTGGTGCAAAAGTAAGAGTGTTTTAGAAAGAATAAATTACGTTCATTTTAATGTATTTGTTAGACATTAATAAACAAAAATATAGCCCCATTCGTAGATTATGGAAAAGGAAAATTAATTTGATAAAATATTATGTGATTATTAAAACTTTTAAGAATTAATAAAAGCAATAAAAATTTCATCAGAGATATATAATAAGATTACATCGTTTTCTCCGATTTTATTTCTATTGAATATTTTATTATATTTTTTCTATTATAGTTTATTATAATAGAAGATCGTGATTTCTATTACACAATTATAAATATATAAATGCAAACTTTTAATAAATTAATAGTTTGCCTATGAATTAATCAACTATCACATTACGTACAATACTATTGTATCAGATGTTTCAACGCTTATGTGAACAAAGGTCTATACAATATACATTTAGTGTTTCTATAATTTAACCATGATTCCGAAGAATACAGTGAATATTATTATGAATAAATATTTCTAAAAGCATAAAACACTTTTATGAATAATCTCGATATCTAACAAGCACATACTTAAGTATACATTATTTTTCTCATGAAAATATATACTTATCTTTCATTTGCTTCAATAAATTTATTCCTACAAAGATTAATTATGTCATTTTTGATTGACTAGGTATCAACAAAATCTCTCTCAATAAAGATTCCACTCAAGCTTCACAATTTTACATTTCATGTGTTTAAAAACGATTCTATAGTTGAATATTTTTCCACGCGATAGATGTGTCCAATAAAACTCTGATCTATCAAGCCGGTCGGAATGTTGGTTTCCAAATATCACACAGGAGCAGGATCACAAACAAATGTTCATTTGCGATTTATTCGCTTATCGCGGCTAACATCCGATCGTGGGATTCGCGATCCGTGGATACGAGTCGCTTATCTCCCTCTCTTCCCTCATCTCTTATCTCGAACTATTTATTTGTCCACGACTTTTGCGCATGGAAACGTCGATACCAGGACTCGGTGGTTCCTCGAGCGATCTTCAAACTGTATCCGTCAATCTTGTGTTTCGTCGAGAAGAGATTCCGGTTACAACCGGAAACGGTTTCAGGACGATTACCCTGAAGACTTTGCAGGGACGGGGCTGCATTATTCATGTTTGCAGGCGCGGATCTACATCGGAATCGTTTCCACCACTGCCGGCGTATATACCGTAGTTGATTTACAAAGCAGATTATTGGAAGCATTTCTTTCCGTTGCGCAGCCGACAATTCGTCGCACGTTTCTCGTAACCGCGAAGATTCTTCTCCCCATCGCAGCTGAAAGTTTGTCGAAATTCAGTTGATAGAAGTGAGCATCGGATTATACTGAAGACCATAAAGTGCACTGGGAAAATAGTTTGTGTGGTAAGATAGTATCAGGTATAGGAGGATTTAAATAAATTATTGCGTTCATTACAACAAGTAATATTTTAGTAACTAGATTGAATTAATCTCGAGAAATCGGCGTATATCCAGATGGTGGAGTTATGGTTGATATTATTGATGTATACGAAATGTAATTTTCTTGAATGAGATTTTAATCACATATAGTTACTTCGAAATATCATACGTTTAATTAAAATAACTTTTATGATCCATGAATCTCTACTTCGGTTGAATATCGTTTATGGTAGCTACAAAAAATATTCGTTCCTATGTATTTCTTACAGCATATACATACTAATTAATTAGTATTTGTCTGAACACGAACATATTAGATTGTCCGGAAAGTGTCTTTCTTTCGCAAACGTGTTTTTTACAATGCACCTTCATACAAACGTAAAACCAAGTCTGTGAAATATTGCGGTGTTTATCTCAACAGAACAAAACGGATCGTACGTAATTCGACAAAATAATATAAAATAAAAACGTTGTGCGTCTATTATTTCCTCATAAAACGAAAGAAACTTGTCGGACAATCTAATATAACTGTTATATGAATGAAAAACCAATCTGCACGGGAAGTCAACAATTGTCTACTATATGAACTCTACTATATAAGGTTATGTGAACTACATGTTTCCTTTTAGAGTCATATGAATATAAGCGGAGTTTTACTGTATAGGTATTTATTCGATCCTTACTCATATCCCTAACACTCAAAACTTAATTACTCAATTATATTATAAATATTCATAGCGTATTCCCATAGAAATCCATAGCAATTTTGACAGAGCTATAACGATTTAAACATAGAATTGAATCCATTAGCAAAAGATCCATTCAACATCACTCCTCATTATCAGCGAGATTAACGTTGTTCCGCGTATCACGTATCACGCGATTAATAACTGTTCCGTATAACACGACACAGCTCCATTTAAGATAATCGAATCATAATTAATCCAACCCCCAGGCTGCATTCCATATTCATCAGTGAATCGCGCAGTCACGTTCTCGCGACACTGGAAAAACACTGAGTACGCTAGCTGGCACAACTAATTCGGAGAGAACAACGCGGATTTACGAGCAAACATAGGTAGGTATACATCTTACCTCCCTTGAGGACAAAACTCTCGACAACGATCGTTGTATTAAAGAGAATAATTTAATGAATCACGACGTTACTCTCCTGGATTAATAGAACCTTACTCAAATATAGTAATTTTACTAGCTGTCCTGTCCGATTTGTAAATAATTTTGTGAAGAATTTGTTATTCTATGTAGAAGAAACGCTATTTTTTTGTGCAATTTGTTGGTTGGTATTTAATGAAGAAATTTGGTAGAAATTTTGAAGAAGTTGGTATTTAGAATGAAAATTCTATGAAATTTTATGCGCTCTATGGTACTGAATGTATGAATTTGGATTTGCAAATAAAATTCATTTCAATCGAACAACGTTAAATTGATTTTGTTCATGAAGAAATACTTTGACATTTATACAAATGCGAGAAAATCCTGTTGTTTTCCTCGAGTAACAGACATCCTTGACATTGATTGACACGATCATCGTCGGTCTTTCGAATCAACCATCATTTGTCAGTGTCTTCCACGCAGCAGAACAGCATGCGTATTGATGGTCATCTGTGAAATTCATTCGAAATACCAATTTTCAGAATGACAGGAACAAACGAATGAGATTAGGCATTTATAGTTCGCACAACAACGATTATTGCTGAAGAAACTTCCTCATTAAAAATATTGATTAATCATGATCTTTAATTAAATCGTGATTAATAAATTATGCAAGCTACATTTTTTAAACCTTCAAGTGTCAATAAATTAATTTCTTTTAATTCTCTGTACTTATCCTATTGTCTTTTGCTAATATTTATTGTGTTACCCTGACATTCATTTTAAGAAATACGTCTTAAATTTTTTTATGTTCCGTTTTCAGAGATTCTAAAAAAATTCTAGATCATTCACTGGTATCCCACTTTTTTATTTCATACACCTCAATAAATATTATTAAATAACAATTAAAATATTTATGGATCTTCAATAATGAAATTTCAATTCCGGCTAAATGGATTTAAAGTTATTACAGAAGATTAACTGAGTTCATAAATAGGGTTTCAAATATATTTTCAATTAAAATACGATAAACACAAAATTGTCTTTTTTTTTAATTCTTATCATTTACAAATTACAAAATTACAGTTTCAATTGCAAATTGCGGATTTTTTATTATCTAATCACAAATAGCATATGTATGTTATTTTAAGTCAAGAAAGAATAGAATAAATTCCGAACTTTTCCCTCTAATGTCCTATCACTTACGTTTTGTTACTCAACATATCGGTAACGTTATAATCGTATAATTACAAATTCAACACGTGCTCATTTCATGTGCTTCATTATACCTAAATCGCGACAGTTCGTCGCATTATCACAAATGAGAAAGCTTGTTCAGGATTAATGTTCGAAATTAACCTGTGATCATTCAAACACGTTCGATCCTCATTTGCTATGGCCATAATTAACACGGATTCGCGGGTGGAAGGTTTTAAAATCCGCCAAATATATTTCCGCGGCTTACGTTATCTTTCGTATACAATGGTATATAGACCATGTTGTAATAGACGTAAACCCATTATTAATATGGTGATAATATGTTAATAATGTGGGCGAAATTAGCGAATTCTGTGCGAACGATGGGAAGAGTAACGAACATCGATAAAATCGTTGTTTATTGACATTTCGTAATTTCCTAAATTACCCCATAGAACGACAATTTTAGTGAAAGTTTACGAATTGGGAGAGTAAAAGCAAAACAAGATTATATGGAAATTGGATTAACTTTTTGTTACTTTGCTTATTTTGATCTGCTTATATGATTTCGAGGGAATATTGATGGATTCATTGTGAAATAATTTTATTAAATGATTATAATATCTAAAAATTTTGTATTTGATTAATACAATGTTTAAATGTAATTAAAATTTGTGTTTTAATCAGTAAACGTAAAAATTTTATGTGGTTAATTAATTTTATAAAAGAAACTAATGAAATGTTTAATTTTCCGTAATTAAGGGACTTTAAAAATGTTGCATACTTTAATGATAAATATTTTTTGAGGTAAATTTTTCAATCGATTTTAAAGAGATACACTCCTCGTCAAAAAGATAACCCAGATGTGTTATCTTTAATTTCTTAATGACGCGTGCAAAGTTTTTCGTCTGTAACGTTTAATATCAAAACATTATGAGCTCAGAATATGCGGTTCGTTGAAAATAATTAAAAATCTTATGAGGTTTAGTGTGTAACGAAGAAAAACTATTCCATACTAAGGTTGAAATGATAACACATTCTGTTAATATGTTTAGAAATTGCTCAGTAGTTCATGATCTATTAACGAGTAAAGATTACAGTACAATATTATATAAATTTGTAAGTATGTGGGACGTCATTGAGAAATTAAAGGTAACACACCTTGGTTATTTTTTTTGACGAGGAGTGTATACTTGTTTCAATTTTATATTTACTTAATTTTATGTATTTATTTAATTATATATACTAAAATCGTGTATTTCGATAATAAGAAAAATAAAGAAGCCTGTTAAGGCAAACACAATTCTTTAAAATAAAAATCTTTTAAATGAAAAGAAAATAAATTTGCAGCTTCCATGGAAGAATAGTCTTGTTCCAGTAGCACTGAATGTGTTAATCGACAAGATACAAAAGTTTCAGTTCAACGAGAACGCAAAAACGATACGTAATTATAAATAGCAAAAGCCACGAATGAATTGAAAACTTTTCTAAAGGACAAGAATACATCACAGAATGTAATACGTAAATATCACGAGAACGAACTACCGTGTGCCATATTTCAGCGTTCTATTCGTTAAAGGTATAAGATACATCTCTGACGTTTCACATGTTCTTCATAACGGTCGTAACTGGGACTTGTTGCATGTGAATGACTTTGATACAGTAGCCAGATATTTTTTTTCGGTACAGTATCGCGTTAGTTATTCTGATGGGTGTAGAGATACGATAAGCCGCTTTGTCTTCGTTTCACAGTTTATCCGTACACGTATGTAAACAGAAACACCTACCGCGGCCTAATGAAACAACGTGGCGTTTTGCATTCTTTTTACACACGAATCGAGCCTTTCAGTCTAGGCTGTTTGCCTTGTTACCGTGTGTCTGCGCACGTTTGAAGTTTACGACCACCGCTCGATGTGTTTAACGAATACCAGCTCTCACTGTGTAACAAGGCCAAAACTTGTATTTACTCTTTTTTGACTCGTGTTTCATCGCCGTTATTTCCGCTATCTTCCTGCATTCCTCATCCGTTGCCCATCTAATCTAATAATTGGATCGAAATCCGTCGAATATCACAAGAAGAAATAAATAAAGAAAAGAACATAGAAAATATGGTTAAGAGAGATTTTCAGATTTATTTCTGCATGTGTAATTTCGCTGTCTGTTGAAGCTTTTTTTAAAAAAAACTTGATTCAAATAATATTTCTATTCTATTTATTTTAATATAGTAATTTAGAAAATGTAATATCGTACCGTGTTAAAACTTGTCGAGTTTTCTGTCGCGAAATTTATTATGAACTTATAATTGATACGTGACATACATAGGTGTGTTAAACTCAAACGGAACCGAAATATGTATATTCCCAGAGGTTGGACGCGGCGCGCCAGGGCTGTCCAAACTACCCTTGTTTTAATTAAACGGTATGATAAGTTTTAATTCAATTTATCCACATTGAAGTCGTGTGCCTCGCGAGCACTTCCCGCGCAACGGACCCCTCTGATGTCGCACGTTAATTACTATAGCTTATTTGCATCAAGCAAAAAATGAAAAATAGCTTCCAGCATCCTGACGAATATTGAATGGAAGTTTTTGTAGCGGAAGGATAATCTGGTTCTTAATACTCTTTGATAAACGAGACAAAAATTTTATTTTTTAAATTCTTTATCTTGAATTAATTTTCTAGTTTAAGATCATTTATATTTTCAATTCTTAATTTTAATTAATTCACAACGTTTTATTTTATGTTAAATGGCTATAAAGTGATTTTTAGTTTGAATATTAATGCTATAACCAGTTTGAAGTTTTATTATTACGTTAAAACAGTACTAACCTTAATCTACTTTGTACATAAGCTTCAAAAAGTAAATTAATTTCAAAGCGCGATAAAGTTTTCTCTGCGCTTTATCCCGTCTATGAGGTTACAGAAGTATTTATTATAATTATTAAAAATGGCAGTCAAAATTACACTAAACCTTTTATATTTTGCTATCAGATTTATGTAAAATAATTAAGTAAGTGTATTATCTTACTGTTACTGATATTATCCTTTTACCACCGTCGAAATATTTTTCAGATTTCGTTATATACGTATTTCATGCTTACCGTATTCAACGAGACATAATGAAAATAACGTACGGATGTACCAGTGCAGTTCGTATTTCTCATTAGATAAACGGAGCATTTTAAAATTACAAGGGTTATTCATCTAATAGGGGGAAGATATTTCATTTAAAAAGGGAAGTTTCTTTAGAATAACGATAAATTGAAGCGAAACTTATTAAAGCTGTTACTGTCCAATATTATTAACAACCAACTTTATTAAACTATTAAATATAAAAAAAAAGGTTATATCTTCTACGTTCAAAATATATCTTGATTCATCGCGAAAGGTAACATATCGACCAAGAATCTCTTCCGGAAGCTTATCTGAAATCACTCTATCGTTCGCAGAACCACCTAACTAAGCAACAATTACCTAACCATCCCGCATAGCTAAGGATTCTGCCCTGAATCGTTCCACCAATCTAATGAAACCTCGAAATCGGCACATTCGAGGCAAACAGTAAACCTGCGGCCGTGAATAATTTCTGCAGGCTATTTCATCTACGATTGTTGATCTTGCCCAGGCTCTGGCTGCGGCCTGCATTCGAGGGCAATATTTCGGACGTCGATACGGTAGACATAGGGCGGATTTTATGACGTTATCCTCGTCCGAGGAGCAGTGTAGCGGTACCTCGAATTTCTATTTCTGATCGACACCGTAAAACTCACCTGTGACAGCCAGCCTTCGACGAATGACAGAATTGAACGATTCCCTTCACTAAAATACTGATTTCGTTGTTCGTTCTGAACAACGAGAATATCATTAATGGAATTAATCATTTACATTCTAATGTGAATATTCAAGGATTTTAACTGTATATAAATTCATGGGTAATTGTAAATTAACATTAACCAGAGTCAAGTTTGACAGCAATCATAGTCATGAAACTCAAAAGCAGCTCCCGTCCATCACAAAACTCAAATATGTACACGCAACCCCTATACATCTTCACCCACATACATGTATAATATCTCCTTAGACACCATCCCGCTAAATCAAGAACAAACACATCGTATTGGCGTAACTAGCCACGATTCGACAGCCTCAGATACTCCTAAATAATCCAACCCACGTTCAATCCAAGCATCGAGTTTGTTTCCCAACATCATGAAGATCAAGATGGTATATATGTTTCCTAACTTACAGAGGCTCGTGCAGCTCCGTGATATTTCATAATAATTTGAAATAAAAATAAATTCCAAGGCAAAAATAAAAATTTGAAATCTATCGAACAGAAATTGAAGATGCTAGAGATTCGTTCGCTTTTCTAACAAGGGACTGTCATAGACAAGGCTCGTTTTAATTATGAACCCTTTGGTTTTTCTCAGTCTTAGCTAATTAAATTTTTTCCTTGTACAACTTCCATTTTTCAAGTAACGATCTAACAACGTGTATTAAGTATCTTCATCAAAGGAACTCCGTATCGCAGAGAAATAGCAAGCAATTCTCGATATCGCTGTCCGTAAACATCTCGGTGTCATTTTTATTCCCCATGCGAAATCGATAACCGATCCGTTATTGGCACAAAGGAAATGGAAGATATCCGTGGCTTACCGGTGCTATCATAAAGGAATACATGCCCGTAAATGTATTACTTTCTTGGAGGTTTGCCGTGAAGATGGCGACGTTCCTGTCACGGATTCAATATCTTTCAGTTTTACGCTGAAATGAAAACTGCGACCTTTAATCACTGTTGCTGGTGTTCCTTGGTTTTTGCACGAAAGTTGAGACAGGAAAGAACAATAATAGCTATCAAAGTACGACACCTAAAGTCACACGTTTTTCGTGATTTTGTCAACGTATCCTGGATAAAAGAAATGTGTATACTTTTTTAGATCTGGTACATGTTTGTTGTTTTAGAATCAATTGCGGATTGATAGTGTAATTATTTCACTCCTTGAATGGTACACACATATTAAAAGTTTTAGTGTACCTTATAAAAGTGTCCTTTATTATTTAAGCCTTTGGTAGTGTAATAAATTAATGGAGAATTAAGAATGAACAATTTTTAAACAGTTACGTCCTTTTCCTCAAGATTTCTTGCATTTCTGGTATCACTTATTGAACACTGAGCTATTATTAGCTCATTATTAGCTTAACTGAGCTATTATTAGCTTATTGAACTATGCTTTTAGTAACTTAAGTAACGTTTACAAATGCAATTTAGCGATATTATACGATATTTGATTTGATACAAATATCAACAATGCTTTTATTCTATGTTCGCAAAGCTACGACACGAATATTCCACTTAATTATAAAATCGTTCCGTATAATTAAATTGATTTTGATATTTGAGAACGAATTTATCGAATCACGGAATATTATTTATTCATAAACTTCGATATATAACGTTTTCATTATGCAGAACTTACAAATATAGGAATCGAAGGAAATATAAAATGTTCAAGCATTTCGTGGAACAAGTGTTTCGATATCGAGCTCGCTTATCACACTTCAGACAATCGTGCATTGCATCAAAGCGGCGTATAACTCTCGAAAAATCTTGATAATGGCACCTGCGCGGTGCATTCTGAATAATGGCTTTTAATAACGTTAACCGAGTGTCCATAACTCAGCATGCCTAGCACTGATTTGGACGGTAACTTCCGGTCTGTTGATAATTCCGCTATGCATCATTCCTTTCATATTTCTTCCGTCAGAACATCGAACCGAGTTCTGTCCTTTGAGAAAGAATGGCTCGAAGCCTATCAACGTCTATTGCAATGCAGGAACAAAAAAAGAAAGATATGGAACAATATTCTAGGAAATTGCTCGTGAAACGAATTAACTTTTTTTCTATCGCTATATCATATTTCTTATAAGCAAATACTAGTTTTTGCCCTATGTGAAACCATACTTCACGTCGAATTTCGAACTTAATTAAACGACACAAGTATTGTGTTTCACAGTGCGGTAAGCATTCATAGCCAGACAGTGCTTCCTTGACTATATGCTTCGTATTTTAATTCCGCAAATTAGATCGGTTTTCTTTCGAATATCTGGTTTTGATGTCTCTTGGAATTTC